AGGTTGCACCAGACTGGGACCACTGCGCTTCTGCATTTTAAATGGAGTAAGAACCACCAGGCTCTTACTCCATTTAACATTCAGAGCTGCAGTGGTCCCAGATCTGCCCATTCTTGTGTTGGTTCGGGATCTACCTTCTTTGCGGCTCTGCAGTTTAAACGTAGGAGCTGGGCTGCATGCGCACCCGGATCTTTCTACATTTAAAGCACCAGACTGGGACCACTGCGCTTCTGCATTTTAAATGGAGTAAGAACCACCAGGCTCTTACTCCATTTAACATTCAGAGCTGCAGTGGTCCCAGATCTGCCCATTCTTGTGTTGGTTCGGGATCTACCTTCTTTGCGGCTCTGCAGTTTAAACGTAGGAGCTGGGCTGCATGCGCACCCGGATCTTTCTACATTTAAACTGTAGAGCTGCAGCAGGGGTAGCTCCTGTCCCGGCGTGGGCACCTTCCCTTATCGACTAATTATGTTGTTGATACAAATTGTATTCACTGCACAATCTGTCAATTACCCGCCTCTTAATATCCCTAATTTGCAGCTTCCAGAGCAGCCTCCCCTGGCCTCCCTGCACTGCTGTCTCTTATAAAGGCAGCAGGGTGGGGGTGGGGGACAAGTGGCACCGTGGAGACAGTACTAGGGGAACCAGCTCTTGCTCCTCTCTCCCCTTACTGACTCTGATGTAGAGGCAGCAAAGGAGGGAGAGGGGGGAATGAGAGTAGTTGACTCAACTACCTGATAAGCCTAGGCTTATCAGGTAGTCCAATAATCGACTACTCTTTCACATCCCTACTTCCTGCTACTTTTCCCTCTGGTGTGAAGAGATGTAGTATAGCTCATCCCCTCTACTCATAGCAACTGTGATGTCTGAACAAGTCTCCACTCCTCATTCCCATTCCTTTTCTGGGTCCTCATCCCCTGTATCTCAACTGCTAGCTCTGCTACTCACAGCTTCCTCAAAATGAAGTAGCCTAAGATAAAACTGACAATATTTTTTCCATTAGAAAGCTGTGAAAGTAAAATCAAAGAAACTGGTGAACATACTGTTTGGGGGCCCACAAGCCATGAGGGTGGGATGAGGCCTCGTGAGGGGGGCTGGAAGCCGGGAGGCAGAGATGGCAGGGACAGCCTGCCGGAGGGAAGAGGGGACAAACGGCCCTGACGGTGCCGGGCTTCCGGGAGCTGCGAGGGCTCACCTGCCAAGGGAGGCTAAGCGGTACAGGGGAGTGGCCATGAGCCGTGAGGGTGCCGGGATGCGGCCTGGCATCAGGCGGCCGTTCACCCCACCCCCCAGGTATATGCTGCATGCCCAGCTTAAAGCACGAGTTTCTTTTTTCCCCCCCGGCTTGGAAATTTGCCAGTTTCTAAAGTTTTCCAGCTAGTTAAGTGCCAGATAGATTTACAGTAACACCTGTGCTTTCTTCATAATTTCCAGCCTCTGCAAAGCATAATAAAAATTCTGTGGACTGAGCTGTCCCAAAAGGACAAGATTAGTAGTTATAGTAAAGAGCAATAAACAAATCTGATTATTTGCCATATACTGGGAGATTTGCAAGACAGTGAAAGTAAATATTGCGAATTAAGGATATATAGCAGTGTCCCCTTCCCCCCAACCCTGGGCTTCATGGCTTTGAAATGCAGAAGAGCCCCCACTGGGGACTCTTCTGCATTTCAAAGCAGGCATCCTGCATGCAGCCCAGAGTAGCAGGACTTCCCGCTAGCCCAGGGCTGTATGCAGAATTCCACATTCCTCCTTTGAAATGTACAAGATCCCCAGTAGTCAATTAAGCCTATTTTAACATCCTTAATGGGGATTATCCAAAACGTTATTAATAGCATTCATGTCATCTGATTATTCATGAAGGGCAGAAAGAACTTGGTTTTTATTATCTTTATTGAAAGACCCTCACACAATAAACTGCTTGGAATGCGAATAAAACCCAACAATACTGCTGAAAATTAAGTATTTTACAAATGGGAAAAATCAAGACAGATATATTGACTTGCCAAAAGTAAACTAGTGACAGAAATAGGAACAGAACCTTAGCACCTGATTCCTAGTAAACCATATTCCCATATTATTTATGTAACCCACAAGATTGTTTCAAAAAACAACTATTAGGGCACATCTCACAGCAGAGTAAACATTGAATTAAGCCACGCAACTTCAGCTATGTCAATTGCATAGCTCAAGTAAAAATAGCTTAATTCGCCTTTTGGTGCTGTCTACACAGCAGGTAGTTGAGGGAAAAACACTCTTCCTTCGACTTCCCTTACTCCTGGGCTGCGTCTAGACTGGCAAGTTGCAAAACTTGCCAGCTGTCTACACTGGCCGCCTGAATTTCCGCAAGAACACTGACTTCCTACTGTCTGAAATCAGTGCTCTTGCGGAAATGCTATGCTGCTCCCGTTTGGGCAAAAGCCCTCTTGCGCAAATACTTTTGCGCAAGAGTGCCAGTGTAGACAACGCAGTATTGTTTTGCGCAAAAAAGGCGATCGGGGCTTTCTTGTGCAAAACCGCGTCTAGATTGGCACGGACGCTTTTCCGCAAAAAAAGTGCTCTTTTCTGCAAATGCTTTTAACGGAAAACTTTTCCGTTAAAAGCATTTGCAGAAAATCATGCCAGTCTAGAAGTAGCTCTGGTGAAATGAGAGTTACAGAAATTGGAGTAAGAAGTCCTCCAGCTCACCACTACTTTATTATTTCAGAATAACGTCACGACAAAAATGTCATGTTGCCTTTGTTATGTAATAATATCATCAGTTATTCTAAAGCAAAGCTGCTGTTTAGGTAGCATACATATGTCTATATATGTATAGATATACTCTTAGAGACTTTGAGACTAACAAAAACATATAAAGAGTATCATGAAAAAGTGGGTTGTGCTCACAAAAGATGACAAACATGATATGACACATATAGAATCCACATGATAGATTCATATTTTACATCTTTCCAATTGCCTCTACCAAGAGCAGAGTGAAGGAGCACTTATGCTACATCATTTATTCATATTTGTACCATACTAAGCAAAAAGTGGAAGTGTATTTAAAAAAAAAAAAAAAAAAAACTTAGTTGAAGCCAGAAAAACTAGTACAGGCAGTCCCCAGGTTACATACAAAATAGGGACTGTAGGTTTGTTCTTAAGTTGAATTTGTATGTAAGTCGGAACTGGTACATATTGTAGGGGAAACTCTAGCCAAACATTTCTCCAAAGCTCAGTTTTATTCTCCCACACCTCACTTCCCTCAGTCCTTTATTCTCAAGCTGAGGTGTCTGCTGAGAAAAGCCGCTCCGCATCTCCCTAGTCTGCTGGGGGGAGGGGGGGCGCTAGCTTCGCATCTCCCTGGTCTGCTGGGGGGAAGCAGCTAGTGCGGGGTTGCCTCACCCCGTTTGTAAGTACGGATCCGATGTAAGTTGGATCCATGTAACCCGGGGACTGCCTGTACACAAAATGATGCCTTTGAAGTAAAAAAAATCTGTGTCTAGATTCTAGAAGACAGTTAAGGCCCTTTTGTGTTTTGTGGATATAGAATATGCTCATCCATCCTTTACCACAGAACTGTCTTCTGGAATTTAAGCTTTCATTTAAAAAATGATATTTCTAATGAGAAATGAACTGTATAACTATGAACCAACTGTTAATTAAAACACTGACTTCCTGAGCCTGCAGCCTGAAATATAATGCAGATAACTGTCAGTTGATGGATTGTTAACCCTGAAATGTAAAGTTTAATAGTTAAATATCCCCATGTTTATGCTATTTCATTATTCACGTTAAACATTCAACAAACACATTCATGTTCACACTTCCCACAAAGGGTCCCATACAGCCCCAGATTCTACAAACATCAAAGCCTCCAGCTTCCCCAGACAACTCTAACTATGCAAAAACCAGGAGTTCTGTGTCACCTTAAAGACAAACAGATTTATTTGGGCATAAAGCTTTCGTGGGTTTAAAAAAACACCACCACCACTTCTTGATATGCATAAAGTGGTTTCCATTCCATGCTTATAGCAAATTGGGTTTTTAATTAACCGACGGAAGCTTATGCCCAAATAAATCGATTCGTCTTGAAGGACTCCTCGTTTTTGCAGACACAGACTAACCCAGCCACCTTTCTAGGTCCTACTACGCGGCTGGGCCCTGCTGCTCCAAAGACACGCGGAAGCCTGAATAGCGAGACGCAAATCCCACAGCAAGGCGGGGGCTGCCCTCAAGGGACTGTCACGTTCCATCGGAGCCTGCGACTTCTGATGGGAAAGAAGCTGCTGCGGACTCTGCATTTGCCAGCCCCGCAGCACCCCGGGCCCAGCGGCAGGGGGCAGGCTCTGCAGGCTGCCATGAGGGCCCGTTAACGCGGACGGCAAGGAAGCCGCGGGGAAGCACAACCGCCGAGTAGGCCGCGCAACGGCTCCTTCTCCGGACTCAGCGCCGGAAGGTCCCCAGTGATGGGGGGCGGGGTTACTCCCGGCTCTGCTCGCGCACGGGAAGGGGGAAGCAGAAGGGCGGCCCGGCCCCCCCGCCCGCAGATCCGTACAAGAGAACGCGGCCGGAGCCGAGAGACACTCACATGAACCGGGGGAAGCCGAACCCGAGGTCACCGCCTCCGCCGCAGCGTCGGGAGGAGGCGCGAGAGAAAGGACCCCGCTCTCGTGGCTGCCCCGGAAAACGCCTGCCACTGACATGCAGTGTGCCGCCTTAGTTCCAGCAAAGAACCATGTTAAAAAAAAAAGCGGCACACCGGCCGCAACGAGCCCGTATGTCGACCCTGAATTCCCACGGGAGAACCTCGCGTTGCACGTAATGACAGTTTTTTAGGCACCTGTGACTTCCCCGGCCCCTTCCCTCAACAGAAGCCAGGGTCCTTTGCCGAGCTGCGGCGCTTAGTGGTGAGGTCAGAGGCGCGAGGGGGTTGCGTGCTCAGGCACCTGCCGGCGTTCAGGGGGGTTGGGCTCTCGCGCTCGGGAGGCGGCAGTGTCCTCGGGGAGGGCTAGAGAGGCAGCAATGCTGGGAGCAGGCCC